ACTGTTCAAGGCTCACGAGCATCTCTTGATACGCTACACTGGCCCGTCGGCGCTCGAAAGTACTCTTCAAATGATCAACCACGGCTGGGTCTGGTTCACGGGTGCCGACAGGGCGTGATCCTTGACCACCATTGGCAGCGGGCTTCACTTGCTTCGGGTTGCTCTGAAAACAAATGGGAGAATGGTTGGTTTGTAAATATGGACACTAACCGGCTGTGCAGGTAGAGTTTTTGTCTCCGTAATCCAATGCAACTTACCCCAGATTTCGCGATTTTGCTCATCCTCGCGCTTCTTCCTGTCGGCCTCAAGTTCGTCCCATAAATCGCGAAAAGCGCCAGGGAGGGAGCGGAAGAGGGTACTTGAGCCTGCAATACCCTGGGTACTGGTGGCAAAGCCGTCAGCGAGAGGGAATGCTAAATTATGCAACGCCATGGTGGCAACATAATTCTTCGCCTGCGTCTGGTCATGACAGGCGATCGTTTCCATTGTCCACACCTTCTCGACTCCTCCCTTCCACCGTACAGTGACCTTTGCACGCACGGCGCGGCTTTGCCCAGATATAATGATGTACGAGATTGCTGCATAGCGATCCGACTTGAGTACGAGGTCCGAGAGTAGGGTCATCGGGGGTCGGCCAGAGAAGTACTTGGGCAGTTGAACATCCTTGACAATGTAGGTAACTCCTTCTTCTGTGGTTCCAGACGTTGGCATTTCTTCCAAGAGCCCAAACATCCCGCCTTCATCCTCTTCGTCATTGTTGTCGAAAACATCATTGCCGGTAGAAACTTCTTTGGGCGGGGAAGAGGGCGGTGGTGAGGGTGACCGTTCTGGAGGGGAAACGGGCGGTCCATCCTCTGGAAGAGCTTGCTGTAAACGCGAGCGAAGACGCTCAGCAACCCTGGATTGGCGTTGCGTTTGGTAATCATGTACAGCAGATTTCTCGTCGAAGAAATACTGTTTTTGAACAGCTGCGATGCGCGTCTTCAGAGCTTTGATAGCGCCAGCCTGTTTCTTTGTTTCCTGCAACGCATCCAGCTCAAGCATCAAGCGCACGTACTCGGCATTTGGGTCGTCGACTTCATTTGACTGAAGCTGCTTTTGCTTCTGCTTTGCTGGCGGGTCGCTAGATTTTGTGGGGGTACCAGCGCGACCCGGGACAAACTCGGAGGCATTGATGTTGAGAGCAACGGGGACTGGACGAGGAGACGCTGGTCGGGATGCGGGGAGGCTAGCACTTGCCGCTGAAGGAGTACTATTATCTGGCACTTCGATTCGAGGGAAAACCACGTCCTCAGGAAAGTTCGCAAATATCTGTGGGTACGTTCAAGGACCTGCATTCACCGTCAAGCATAGACCGTACCCATTCACAAGCATCATCACTTTCAGCCGTAGGTATTGCTTGCAGGGCCTGCAATACTAACCCTTCAGAGAAACCCACTATGAAGGAGCGTCACTATGGTGCTGCTGGCATTGTGAAAGTATACCCTACGTCGCCGTAACTTGCCATATGTAGCACCAAGTTTCGTTATGAATTGCTCGTAGGATGCAAGAGACTTGCTTTCCGGACTCTTGGACTGATTCATCATGTCGAGTGCGCGTTCTATCACGGCAGGGTGAAGGTCGAGCGTTGGCCTACTGTGGATGAGCGGGCTGGTTAGGTAGATGGCGGAACACACAATGTCTCTGAATATCTTTTTTCTACCTCTACAGTCTGGGGAAGATTGAACAATGGATAGGTGAGAGAAGCATGTTGACTCACCTGAATCGCGCGCAGAACATCTCTATCAACCTTGTCCTGAAGCCGGTCCACTAAAGACTGGAGGCGCGTCTGGAATGGATCCAATCCCACCGCTGAAGAAGCCGTCTCCTCGGTCGCTGCAGCTTCTGGCTCTTCCGCTGGCTCTTCCACTGGAGGTTCCTCGACGACGGGTACGACTTTCTTGGGTACAGAAGTTGTTGCGAAGCCTCGGGCGGGACCCTTGGAGGCATTTGACTTTTTCTTCTTGGGCGGCATGATTAATGTACACGAAGCGACCGCGAAGTTTTACGGGTAGAGTCAAGTCAGAGTCGATATTACAATGTGACGCGTCCAAGTCGCAGCTGGGGACGTTGTGCGGGTGTGCTCTAGTTGACCTTGGGGCAGGGAAATTTTGATGCCGAGTCGCTCTTGAATGCACGAGAAAATACGAGTCTTGATGTGCAACGAGCAGGACAATTCATGGAGAATCGGGTGTTGAGGTCGAGGTTAATGCAAAGCAGGCGATCGCTCTACATGCTTAGCATGATCGGCCGGCAATGATAACAGTTTCTCTTCTCCGTCCACCACTACTAGCAAGCGTTGGCACCGTGCCGTGTGAACGTGTCTTCCGACTTTCGACACTATTATCAATACGCGAAGACCTGGGAATTTACATAATGGAATGGCCTGCACTGTGAGCTAAACCTGCCATTCTGCCCGATGGCTGGTCCGCATACCCTCATCTTCGGAAGCCGTGAGCCAACTAAAGCTAGCCGACCAAATGGACCGTACGGAAATTGGTGTGGTTATCTTTGGTTGATCTTATCTCCCGTCTCTCTATGCCAGGAGGTGGATTCCTGTCCAATTCCGTAACGCGTGGGCGGGCATCTATATATTGAGAAAGCTCTATTAAAGTAATAGAAAGATCTTAATCTCCTCCCACCATGATCCTTCGCCTCCTCTCTAAGCATCCTCTCCCACGGGGTGCCTTTCGCTCGTCGCTCGGCAGGCGACCCCTCAGTACGCAGCCACCCAAGCATACACCAACCTTCACTGGCCGACGTGCGTTAACATTGCTTGCGCTCGGCGCGTCCCCATTCTTGTTCTCTTCCACCCTCCAATCTGAGTCTGTCATACCACTTGTCACCGACAACGAATCCCAACCATCCTTACGAGACCTCATTCGAACCTATGTGGTTTATACAGTGCGTCTTTACTGCAGTCCACTTTTCCGTCGGCGTCACCAATGCGCCTCCTTTTTGCCTAGCTTTGCTCGTCCGAGACCATCATCGACCATGCCCCGGGACTGTTAGAAACGCTTACGAGCGTCCCCGTCCTCAAGCAAATCACCGAAGCTCTGGTTCGCGTCACATTCTTTGATCAGGTGCGCTTGACATTACGGCTCTACATAATACATGTCGCTGACGCTGACGCTAGTTTGTCGGGGGAGATACGGCAGCTGCGACAATACCCCTTCTGAAGAAACTGCGTACACGGAACTTGGGATGTCTCTTCGCATATTCCGTGGAAGTTGATGAACATGAAGCCATGGCCAGCGCGCACAATAGCCAGAAGACACTGGTTCACAAACGATCTGTGGATGAGATGGTCCACTGTATCGACGTCGCGGCAGATTTCGAGGACATAGAAGTCGGGAGCGGCAGTCACGGCAGAAGGACCTGGATAGCAATTAAGCTGGTCTGTTCCCAGTAAACCATTTAGGGATTGCCTGACCCTTCCCCTCCAGACCGCATTGCTTCCAAACGCAGAAGCACTCCTTCAGTTATCCCAGGTCATCTTGCAGAACCGCCATAATGATTCCGTACCATTCCCGGGATGCCCTCAAAGTCATGACCTCGATGTTCTTTATGCTCCCGGACCCAACGAACATATATCGCCAGAGAACATCGCTGCGCTGAAAGACCTGCACTCTGATGTGTTCCGTATTTGCAAACGGGCAAGGGAACGTGGTGTCAAGGTTATCGTCGATGCTGAGTACAGGTGAGAAATGGGCCGCCTCATTTGCAATGTCTCGGTTCTCATTTTCAAATCAGTTGGTACCAGCCGGCATTGGACGCCTATCAGCTATCGCTCATGGAGGAGTTCAACAAGGTGGGCAGCAGTGTGCAGCCCCTCGTGTATGGCACGTACCAGGCATATCTACGACGGTCCGTTTGTTCTCAGGGTCTTCTTATCGTTCTTACCGACATTCATCCAGGACTTATGCGCACCTTGAACAGTCGCTCAAGCATGCCCGTGCGAATGGCTACACACTCGGCGTCAAGCTCGTTCGCGGTGCATACCATCCCCTCGAAACCAGTTCACACCAAGCACATATCGCAGGCAAAGCATCGCTTTCCATCTCGCCTGAACCTCTCCCTCCAGTCTGGCAAGAGAAGAGTGAAACCCATTTCAACTACGACAGCTGTGCGAAGCTCTTGATTCGGGAAATCAAGAAGGATATCCTGGCCCAGGAGCAAGCAAAGACTAAGGGTGCACCGCGAATTGGTGTCTTATTCGGCACGCACAACTGGACGAGCTGCAAGCTCATTCTACAAGAGCTGGTTGATCAGGGGCTTGCCTCCATTGTACCTGGAACGGAAGAGACTATCGCCGTTCCAGAGGCCGTCACTGAACGCCTAGTAATGGGTCAACTTTACGGTACGTGGCTAGAGATTCAGGTCGATTTCTCACTGACAATTGATCTTAGGAATGTGTGATGCGCTTACGGAATATCTCGTGAACCGCACTCAGTCTGCCGCTCCTTTGGTCCTCAAGTATGTTCCCTACGGCGCGCTGTCGGAGGTTATGCCATACTTGAGCCGTCGGGCCATTGAGAACAAGTCGGTGCTAGGAGAGGGGGCGGCGAAGGAGGAGAGGCGCAGGGCAGTGTCGGAGATCAGGAGAGCCATATTCGGTTAGAGAAGGACTCATGCATCTGTATATCTACAAGCACAACCGTGCATTTTATAGAGGCAAAGATCCTATTTCTGCATCTACCTACTCAACTTAATGTTCTGTACAATCATACCATTACCCTTCGTAGGGGCGAAGCGATCAACACAGCCATTTGGGACTCCCATTGTGATTATGTACACAGATCAAGTTCGGTGAAGTTGTCTATAAAAGTCTCTCCCTTTGCTGTTTTGCAAGATTTTTGAATCAAATTCAAGCTAAAACACCCCCATTGTGGAGCACAAACAAGCAACGATAGCTCACCTTGTCACATAAATCTGGACAATGTACTTGAAACTGCGTGTATGCGTCAGTGGTGTAATGGTAACATGTGGTCTTCCCATGGCCGCGCCTCGGGTTCGATTCCCGGCTGACGCAGCGAGCGAACGCAAGGAATGTTACGTTTTTGAACTTGACGAAGAGCCACCACAGGAGGCAATGGATTATGGCACACATCCCGCAGGCTCAGTGCACATGCTACAGAGCTAAGCTTGGTGGAAGACGGCTCTCATTTTCCAGGTGCTTGATATGTAACCTAGTTGTTGAGGCTTCAAGCTTCAAGCCTCAGAGTTCAAACATTCAAGAGTTGGGGGTTTTCAGTCAATCATGGGGCACAAGGGAAACGGGGTTAGTGGCTCTCCCTATAGACATTGGATACATGATACATTAGAAGATAGTTCATAAACATTCCGATTCTTTATCTTACTCCAACACCCACGACTCCCCATCCTTTTTGATACCGACTGGTCGCTTCTCATCCAGGCTGATGCGCCCGGCATTGAGTATGGCTGTGGTCAAAACGGTGTTGGCGATACTCGGAAGGCCGTGCTTGTCGTAGTCTGCAGGGGTGGTCACGCCAGCATTGACACTGCGAGCGGCGTCGATGAACTTTTCGATGGACACATAGCCATAACCGCGCTGGCCGTCAAAGTGTCCGCTTTCCGAAGGGGAGTACTTCATGCTGTCCTCATTGCGTTAGTGCTCGAGACATCGCCCGAGGAAGAGTAGACTTACTAGAATGGGTTATACCATTGCTTTCCATTCTCGTCAGTCGAGACATCGTAGCCACGATGCGCCTGGTCAACTGTAATTTCACCCTTCTCGGCCATGTAGTACCAGTGTTGCGCGGAATGCACGCCAGACTTGAGAGGCGCAGTCCAGCTTGCGGTGTATACGCCCGTCCCGCGGTGCGTCGGGCTCTTTGTAGACTGCCAGTCGACAAGAAGCGTGATGGTGTCTTCTGTTTCGGGGACGCAGTTGTAAGGCTCACTGGTGGCTATACCAGTGGCCGCACTTGCGGTCACGCGAGTGGGCACGGCAGAATCCTGGAGGATCCAGCAGCAGATGTCGATGTGATGCGACGAAAGGTAGTAGCTGATATCCGAGTCCTTTCCTGCCCATGCACGGAATGTCTCCAGTTGGGACTTGGGCTGGCTCATCCATGCGCTGAAGAAGTTGAATTCGCCCAGGCTCTGCGCTTTGGCTTTAGCATCGCTGTAAGCGGGGTCGAATCTGTGGCAGGAAAGGAATGAACATAAGATAAAACAAGTCTTTGGGAGGACGCCGACCGTTTATGGTGCTCGACAAAGCAGACGACATTGTTCTTTTTTGCCGCTTCGATGAGAGCGTTGTGCTCAGAAAGCAACTTCACGGCGGGTTTTGTGACGAGCACATGAATTCCCCTCTCCATGGCATACATGCAGATGGGGAAGTGTGTAGCTGATAACTGGGTCAGATGGATTGAATTGTACGCAAGTCGAACGTAGACGTACGGTCAGGAGTGAAGACAATGACTGCGTCACCGGCTTTCATACCGTCAATAGCGGTCTTGTCTGTTCAGTTGTTAGAAATTGGACAGTGCTGCTAAGACATTCTTGCAACGCACAAGCCTCGGGATCCACTTTCCCACCAGCTGGGAATTCATCAAATCTAAGTGGCAGCGTAAATTTTGGGGCAAGGAAAGAAACTGGTGAGACCATACGCAAGATCCATTTCCTTGTAAACACCACCGATGTTCTCCGCCAGATGTTGACGAATCGCAGGAAACTTGCCGCCATTCACACCGACCATACCGAGTTTGTCGACTTTACCAAGTCGACGAAGGTCAAAACATGTTAAACCGACGACCTATTAATACTGAGACGAATCCTTTCAACTATTATGCAGGGAACATACACCAATCTAAGTAGGAGAAACATAAGAACAGGTTGGCAAGTCCAGATAGTGGGCAAGCGCACCTTTTTGTCTGACTTGGAGGCACCAGATCCCGTCCATCCAGTGGTGTACTCTCCCTTGTCACTCATGTTAGATGGAATTCAGGACGTTGACAATCTCGACCTACAGTACCGCCTGAAGAGGAAGGATTGTCAGGATGAAGTGCATATGAAAGATAAATGTCACTCAACACATAAGAACATTGAGTTTCTGGAGATTAGCCATGATGGTACTCTTGAGAAGAGGGAGGAGGCATTCTGCGCTTTATATAGGCGTTCGAAGGGCGATCTCATGGGTGAATAGCTGCACTGAGTCGGGCCGTCCCCCGTCGACAAACGGTTTAGCGTGCCGGCGGTCCGGAGATGGGCCAATTCTGCCCACACTGTGCGCACTTGTAGTTTTGCTTCGAGATTGACTTTCACGCCGAGGGTTTTCGCCAACAACTCGTTTGGCCTTCATCCTTTTCCGACAACGATGACCTATACAGGAATTGGGGCGTGTACTGGATGTGGATTGGTCCATCGGGCACACAGGAACGCCTCACCCCACACGCTGTACTCGCGTGTTTATGCTCAGCGTCAATAGTGGCCGTTTTCACTGCCATTGGCCGTTGGTTATTGGTGGTGGCGGAGGTGGGATTTCGAACGACGAACGCATCAATCCGAGGCACGGATCGACGTCATTCCGGAAGGAGTACTTTTAGCAAGTGTTCAACGACGTCGTCGGTGGCTCTACCCACACCCACCATCTACTCCTTGCTTGCTTTTTTTTCATTCTCATTCTGCGCCATGTCGACCAACTCGCCACCGCCAGACTCGTCTTTCATGCCTCGACGTGAATTTAGACGCGACACTCCACAGCGCGAGCCCAAGACTTTCTCATTGCTGGCTTTATCGGGCTCCAACTGCATTCGACTCTATTCCTTTCCCCTCCACGTTGTCGTACATCTCAGGCGATTCCTGGATCAAGACTCTCTCATATCTGCATACCGCGAGGATGTTTCCAACAATTTTTGTGAATTCCTGCTCGAAGGCAAGATTTGGTCAAGCCCCAAGAGCCCGGCTACCGAGAGGCTCCTACTGGACATCCTGGCCATCATATACCAGCATGGCCACATCTACCTCTCCACAGTGGACTATGGCCGCGAAGCCGACGACCGCTTAGCCATGGCATTTTCCAAGCCATCCGTCCAACCGGACCATGCCAGCTCGCCCGGACACTCAAAGGTGTCGTTCTCAGATCCGCGGTCGGTGGGAAACAGAGTACCATTTGCCCTTTCCTTTCCATCTGCAACCCTTCTACGCGTCATCGCGCCTCCCCTCGACCTCACGCCAGCGATCCTCCAGGCTGTACGAGGTGCATGGCCGCGGGGCGTTGTATCAGAGAAAAAGATCGGGAACGATACCTTTGAGTTCAAACTCAAGGGCTACAGATGTGTGTCTCTCGCGTGTTTCAAAAACGTTGGACTAACATTGGTCTCAAGGGTTCCAACAAGATACTTTCGCTACCGACTCCCTACGCCACATTTTGACTCTATTATCAGCGCTTGACGCTCAATCCTTCACCCTGCTTTCCTCGATCTCTCTCACCAACAATCGCTCTCGGGTCAAGGACCTCTGGCTCTTTACAGGCCCTGCACCTCTCAATGAAGAAGGCGCGTTCCCGGATTCCCCTGTGCCATCGCATAGGGCAATCCCACAACGCGATGTAGAAGCCTTTAATGGACACAAGCGAATGGCTACCGAGCCAATTGGGTCGCCTCCGCCGTCGTACCAGCACCACGCACGGGCCGTGACCGATGCAGCTCGTAACGGTCAACCCTCCCCTTCGCCCTCGCAAAGCAGCCAAGCGCCTCATCATGTACTACGCAAACCCGCTCCTCGAGCCCAATTGCCTGTTTCCGTTTCTGACCAACTAGACGTTGAAGGTGAAGGGGAGTATCGGAGAGTCGACTTGCCTAGCACTATTCCGTCAGGTATTGAGAACATGACTGGCGTTGGCGCTGGTCTCCCACTTCCTCCAGATACACAAACACCCGACGTTTTCTATACGACATCACCGTTCCAGGCTAGTCCAACCGCTGCTCATGATATCCGCGATGACGGCGTAGCAACATCCTCTCCTCCTCGTGGCTCACCGGAACCAGTCCCCGTCGAGTCTCTGCCCCAATCTGCCGCAACTACCCCACCCGTGACGGCTACGCCTCCGGGTGCGCCTGAGCCGCAATCTGCGCTCCTTAGTTCGCGTGTCTTCCGTGACTCTGCCTTCTCGTCCTGCACAGACACCAGCGCCGATATTCCTATCAAATGGACCGGTGTTGGTACAGATGCAGTGCAAGAAGAAGATGAACGCCTGGGCCCAGACATTCCGGGAGGCTGGCAGCCAACACCTGTTGAGGAGAGGACGGAGCCCGTCTCGATGGATATCGCTCTCGAGCAGAGTCAAAGCCCTACACATTCTGTTCATGATGTACATGGACGCGTCTCGTCGCCCGTTTTCAGTCAACGTTCGGCGGAGCATCATAGTCAGGCTGGGTTAATTGGAACGTTTCCTTCAATAGAGCCTCAAGACAAAGAGAAGGAGAAGGAGGGTGCAGGCGTGAATACTCCTCCGCAGAGAGAAGGATCGAACGGACAACAAGGTTGGGTCCTTGTCGATGTCGAGAAACAGGCATCTGGGCATAGCAGGTCGCATTCTACAACTGGCGGTGATGGGTCGTCTAGCCGTGAACCCAAGAGCCCTTTGCCGAAGAGCGTCATTATCGTTGACCCCAGTAAGAAGAAGGATGAGGCACCTCCAGGGTCTAGGGTGCGCAGATTCTTTTCCTTGTCGCGCAAGGATTCGGTATGTGATTTTCCCTCATTCTTAAATGTTTGTCTCACCAACAGACAGAAGAGGGTAGTCAAGGATCACGCACGTAGGAAGAGTCGCCTCGTTGTGGATGACTCGCAGGAGTCTGAAGATGGGAAGAATGCTTAGAGTTTCGTTTTTCAAAGGTGTGTATACTGGCCTACTCCTGCTACATGCTCGCCCTCTCTATTTACTGTCCTATTTGCTGTACAATACGTTCCTTTATATGCCTCTTAAATGTAGTTTTTGGTAGAATTGGGTGGACTTTTCACGGTTAATTATGCCTTACGACCTGTAACGAACGTACCTATCCA